TGCCGGTAATAATTTTTATCTATCTATCTATCTATCTATCTATCTATCTATCTATCTATCTATCCAAATTTATTTCAAAGTTTATTCCTATCTATCTATCTATCAAATTTATTTCAAAGTTTGGTTTGTTTTATCATATCTATTTTTTATTATCTATTAATATTTTCTATCTATCTATCTATCTATGTCAATATATTGGTTTGGTTTTGGTTTGTTTTTTCAATCTCAATGGCATATCAAGATTTTTATTGCTGGTAATATTTTCTATCTATCTATCTATCTATCTATCTATCTATCTATCTATCTATGTCAATATATATTGGTTTGCTTTGCTTTGTTTTACGGCATATCAATCCCAATGGATTATTTAATGCCGACAATATTTTTATTGCTGGTAATATTTTTTTTCAAAAATGTATTGCTGCTAATATTTTTTCTCCAAAAATTCATTGCTGGTAATATTTTTACAAAAATATATTGCTGATATTAAAACCTATTTTGCCACTTTCATAATGTTTTAACCCTAGTTTGGGGGTTAACTACTTGGACATCTCTGGGACCCTAACAGGTGCTACTACTCCGGGTCAGTGTGGACCTGGAACACCAGCAATTAAGAGGTGGTTCCACGCACCTCAAAGCCTCCTGATCTGAGGCCTTGTTGTCAGTTGTAGTTTATCGTCATGCCCAGGACAAATAATAAATGAAGAAATTCAATACTGATCCTGTTTTTTTTTCTTTTCGTTCACTTTTTTGTCACTGATGAAATAATTTATTTTATTTACACTGTTCGGACTGTTGTTCTCATCTTTGTTGTCATATTCACGGCGTTTCGGCCGTTTTAGGCTTCCGCCTTCTTCAGGTGATTGGAGTTTCGAACTGGAAACCTTATTTCGTCATCCCGGAGTAGGTTGTTCTAGTTCCACGTTCCATGCCTCTTCCGGATGTCTCTGTACCAGTTATTTCCCTTTAACTCAACTCTCCATGTTTTTGTCCACCTCAGCTGTAGCCAGGCGGACGAAATAAAGTCGCGTTGTTCGCCATGCACTGGCTGACATCTACCATGAAAGATGGATAAGGGGGGGCATTTCCATAGCCTTCACCCCCCCCCACCTCAATCCTTTGGATTTTTATATTTGGAGCCACCTAAAGCAAGTGGTCTATGCAGCGGACATTAATAATACAGAGACGCTTCATCAACGTGTCATGGCGATCTGCGACACCATTTGACACCGTGTGGGAGTATTTGAAACGGTCCGCCAGTCAATGATCCGACGGGTGCTTACGTGTGTAGAAGCAAGCGGAGGACATTTTTGAATGTGTTTTTTTATGAGTTGCTCTATGTTGAGGTACAACGATGGCCTTTTGGACATATGTTCATATGGGCATTTTACCTTGTTTTGGTGTGAGAAACCTAGCCCCAATATATATATATATATATATATATTTGAATAAAACCAGACCACTTTAAGGTTCCATGTAATAAATTATTTCAACACATCCCTTTTAAAGGGCTCTGGATCCTCAGACTTTACTCCCAAAGGTTGAAATGAAAAATGAAAAGAAATTTACACATTTTTGACGGGCCGTGTTAAGCATATGTAAATTAACGAAGTGAGGAAGTTTGAGGGGAGAGAAAACATGAGTAAGTTAGATGTACCATTTCAATTCTTTATCCCTAACCCCACTTGGTGTGGGCTAGACATCGCTTAACTTAACGTATGTTATCTCTAGATATGGATGGGTAAGGGGTGAAGAAGAAAACCGACATAAAAGGAAGAAGATACAATAAAATAAATCATGATCCTGAGAAAAGGTTTCACTCAATTTCTTGGATGCTGTTATTTCGCATTCCTTTAAAGGGTATATTTGGGGGTTAAAGTTTGATATAAATCTAAATGTTTACAAAATCTACGAAGAATTTAATTTGATGTTTGTTGGAGTTTTGGGTATTTTCTATGAAATAGTCGATTGGAAAAAATTCATAGAAAGGACATTGAAAGAATAATTCATTTTGCATCTAGTAATCTTTTTTATTTCCTAAACTTTTTTCTTGTTGATTATTAAGTTGACATCTATTCGTTTGAGTTTTGTTCATAAATTAAACTCGTGACTGTTTTTAGGTACCTACATAATTATCAAAGGTTATTCCAATTTAAGTAATTTTATCATCAATAATGATTATTAAAGGGTAATATTTGCTCTGAATTTACATTGAGCTCTCCGGATATCATCCTCCTTGGGTCTACCCATACGGATTACCTAGTTTGCATAAACTATATATATATATATATATATATATATATATATATATATATATATATATATATATATATGATAGAACCTGCGCTCGGGTGCCGGGAGCTATACTTAACATTTCTTGGAGACAACATCCAACTAAATCACATCTCTAGGAACTCATTGTTACAGTTTTTTGTGTATATGTTATGTAACTAGTGAGCGAGTCAGAATGACTTATTTCCCTTTATAGTCTACCAATAGAAGATTAACCAATCAGGAGCCGCTGAAGATTGTATCCGTCGTGTATAAAGGCGGCCATCTTTGTTTTCCTACCCGGAAGGACCGGAGGCAACTTGTCCGGCGAACAGGACAGACGGAAGAACTACGCTCTGCTACTTTGCTGCGATAACCACTGCGAACCTGCACTACGCTTTCCTACTGTCTCCGAAATATTCACTGCCAACCTCTGGATTCTATACTCGAAGACGACCGTCATGAAAATGTCTAACACTCATCCCGCATATTTCTACAATTTTACTCGAACGCAGAATGCGCTTTGTAAGACCCGCTTTGGCGAGTCAAACAAGTATTTGCGAGTGATCTACTGCTTTGGGCACCGAGTAGTCATGGTGCAAGATGGGCTGGTCGCCCAATAACCACCTATGTTGACCAACTATCAACTATATATATATACATATATATATATATATGTATTTGAAAAAAAAATGAATTAAATCGGATAGACTATATACCCAAACACATAGGCATATTTAAAAAAAAAATTTGTCCGCTCTTATCCTTGCGCATGTGTAATCATGTCAACGTAAACATCACTTCAGTCTGATGAAGTCCTAAAATAGGAAACGTCCTAAAATTATATCTACGTGCATGTGATTAGATACAAAAACCTTTTCCACTTTGTCATAGTTTTTCCCATAAAATTATTCTTTGTCAACCTCAGAGTGCTTACTGAGCAGCTCGTCAAAATGTGCTCGCTATCTCAACAGAATATCATCGGGATCTCGAAGAAGTTGTTTACCATCCTTAGTTCTTAGAGGAGAAACAGGTGAAATAATACATACATACATTTATATATATATATATATATATATATATATATATATATGAATATATAAGTCAAGTCAACATTTAGAGGCGACAGTTTGTTTCATGCTATATGCAATCGTCAAGCCACATCTTTTTATATTTACACGCTCTATCTCTGATACTGAGCACTTTATTCCATAAATATAGCATAAGACTATATTTCTTCATATATATATATATATATATATATATATATATATATATATATATATATATTGGATTGATGCAAATATTAAATTTGTCACTCAGCTGATTGATATTATTTTCAGCATTTCGACTCTAGTTTTTCGTAGACGGACGCTCAGGCAATATCTCAGTCTACTCGTTAGAAGAAAATATAATTATATATATATATATATATATATATATATATATAAGTTATGAAGAACTTGGTAATCCGTATGGGTAATCCGAAGGAGGATGAAATCCTAAGAGCTCAATGTAAATCCAGAGCTAATATTTTAAATTTAATATTTATTTTAACTATCCCTCTCACACCCCTTGTTAAATTGCAAAAACTTACACAACCCATCAATTTTAATCTCATTTTTCGTTTCATTTGTTGTTGGAAGTGCTATCTGATGATCCGGCGTCCTTTTAAAAGGACTCTGGTGAAATAAATTATTGTAATGGTACCTTAAAGTGGTCTGTTTTTTCTTTAAAATTTATATTTATATATATATATATATATATATATATATATATATATATATATATATATATATACAAATTGCTACCTAGTTGTCGTACTGGAAAACAAATAAATTTCTCTTCAGATATTTGGGCACTTCGACGTGGTGTAATGGTTAACAAACTTATCTAGAACAATTACGTAGCGAGGTCGGTCCTCACTGGGTGCCGCATACTTTCGCCCACGCGCCACTTCTAATCTACGCTCAGAAAATAACGACTGAGCAGTGAGTTCGATCTTCCCTGGGTGCCCCATAATTTCGGCCTTGTTCTACATCTACGATAGGCTTAGAACAATCCTTTGGGTGCCTCGACGTGAAGTACTGGTTAACAAGCTTTCCTCGGTAGAACAACAGTAATGAGTGCGGTCGCTCAGAAAGTTATTATTTCGTATCAAAGTTTTTTGGGGGGTTTTTATCGTCGTCTCTTTGTTAGATCTTTTTTCAATCTTGCTTCATGATACTAAAACACACTATTCTACTTTTTTTTTCTATTAAAATGGCGTCCGTTGCGATAGTTAAAATATAAAAAAATATGTGATAGACGCTAATGCCATAACTTAATCTGACGTTTTTCTTCCTCGGGCCATACACTGTGAAGTTGGATGTTGAAAAAGATATTACTTCGTATACCCTGAAAATCGACAATGCAATCTGGTTATTTCAATTGACAAATCTGCAATGAAATTGAATGGAAATAAGTAAAAGATAAATGAATGAAACGCTAAGAGTTTCATTTATTCATTTCCGACGTGCGATCAAAAAAATGACTCCTGATCGATATTAGAAAGAATGTAAATAAAAAAAATATGAGAATATATTAATCAAGTTAACATAGAGGAAAGCAATATTGAATAATACAAAAATGTGGCACAAGGCCAAAAGTGGCGATAGGAGAGGCCTGGCCATCTTCTGCCTTATAATTAAACCTAACTAGTCACAATTACTGACCCAAACACACCACACTATTCCTTACACCAAAACAAAACATTCTTACTTACCATTCTTACTACAGTCACCATAATGCCTCAAAGTCTCTATGAAGTTCTAACTAATCCCCATAGAGAAAAGTTCATCAGAATAATTATAATGAAAATACTTATAGAAAAGGTGCAGTGAAGCTGTTATGGCACTTAGCTAGCCACAATTACTGACGCAAACATACCATAGTATTCCTTAAACCAAAACAAGACACTCTTATTTACCATTCTTACTACAGTCACCATAATACCTCAAAGTCTCGGTGTAGTCTTAACTAGTTCCCATATGTATAATTTGTACTAAAGAGGAAAGCTCACCAGAATCCTAAAAATGGAAATATTTATAGAAAAATCTACTGCTCTGGACACCTATTCATGACTCAAGACGGTTTTGATTCGCCCAGCCATTGTCCTGCTATTTATCCATAGCTGGGGGGTAGTCGAGATGGGCTCGTACTTTTCTCAAAGATATTTGCACGTAAGTAGAATTCGAACTCGACTCTCCAATTCCTCAGCTCAATACATTACACTGACGTGTCTCTTAAAAGCTTATAAGTTAAATATTTATCTTTCTATAGGCAGCGGCCAGAAATCATTTGGCCAGGCTATCAGTTCCTATCTAGACAATGTTAAGTGTCAAACAACAAGGGGGTATCGGATTATTGATAAGGTTTAAACTATCCCCCCCACTACTTGCGGAAAACCCAAGTGGACATTATGGTTGTGAATAATCCTGACAACGATTGGGTGGAGGGCGACTGTCGATGATGCTGTAGAAGAGGTGTCATCTATGACAGCGCAGCAGGGTTTTAGTGAACTTTTGAAATTATATCATTTGGTTAATTTAACAGTTATATCAGTTGGTTAATCTAAGAGTTATATCGGTTGGTTAATTTAACAATTATATTGATTGGTTAATATCGATTATATCGGTTGGTTAATTTCATAGTTATATCGATTGGTTAATAACAATTTTACTGGTTGGTTATTTTAACAGTTATATCGATTGGTTAATAACAATTATACTGGTTGGTTAATTTAACAGTTATATCATTTGGTTAATGAAAGTTATATTGGTTGGTTAATTTAACAGTTATATTGATTGGTTAATATCGATTATATCGGTTGGTTAATTTCATAGTTATATCGATTGGTTAATAACAATTTTACTGGTTGGTTATTTTAACAGTTATATCGATTGGTTAATAACAATTATACTGGTTGGTTAATTTAACAGTTATATCATTTGGTTAATGAAAGTTATATTGGTTCGTTAATTTAACAGTCATATCAATTGGTTAATAACAATTATATCGGTTAGTTAATTTAACAGTTATATCGATTGGTTAATAACAATGATATTAGTTGGTTAATTTAACAGTTATATCATTTGGTTAATGAAAGTTATATTGGCTGGTTAATTTAACAGTTATATTGGTTGCTTAATGTTGTGGATTCCGGGTTGAAATCCGGTACCAATAAATAACAAACATCAAGAATGAAGATATGAAAATAATGTATTAACGTAATAATACAAACTGGTAAAGCAGGTTAGTAGTTCCAGGAATACGAGTTAGTAGCAATATATATATATATATATATATATATATATATACACAGTCTTTGGTATTGAAGTATCGCTGTATGACTTCTTACTGAGTCTACATGCTCGCTCACTGTGACTCCTACAACGCTGTTACCTCACCCCTCACTCTTCCGGTTACCTACAACCTTTTACTCCTGTCACTCTGGACTCGACTCGACTCTTGTCTGCTCTCGTCTTACTCTCGGGTCTTCCCGTAGCAGTAGTATATGTATATACTGGGTGAGTTCATTTGTGTAAAAAGGGGTTGACCCCTCAACACTTAATTTAACTGTTACAGTCAACAGTTATCCCAGTTGGCTATTTTGATGGCACAACACTGCCGTCGTTATTCAATGACGAATTCAAGTCTTACAGAATAAAAACCTGAATAAATTAACAGATATACAGATAAAATTTTAGTTTACATTACATAAAAGAAGATAGATACAGAGCCGGTTTATTCTAGAGTCATAAAGGTACACACAGCTCCTTGGTACACACAGGTGGGCTTTGTGGGTGATCGCAAATGAATCTAAACATAGGAGATTCGCTAGCCACCCTTGCCAACGGGGGTGCTCGGTAAACGACAGTAGCTAGCCACTATATATACGAGGGTCGGTTGAAAAGCCCATAGGCTGACCAAAATGTAAATATAAGTAGACAACGCCAGTTGGTAGGTTAAAAGACACGAAAGTTGACCAGAATACAACAGATGATCGACCAGACGTTGTGTTCTGGTACAATTGTATGTTTTTTAACGATTTACTAAGCGTAGCTAAGATATGTCACCAGACCGAAAGAATGGTGCACCTAGTGAGGATCGAATTCACTACTCAGTCGTGACTGATCTAGTGAGATAAGCTTGCTAACTATTACACCACATCGATATGACATATTTTTAGTCGACCAATTGGGGTGTCTACATACATACATACATATATATATATATATATATATATATATATATATATATATATATATATTATTTAAATGTTCTACCGTTCGAAGTATTTTTCAAGTTTCTGATGCGAATTTGCACACAAATTATCCAGTAGCTAGCTAGCTAGCTAGATAGCTAGCTAGATAGATAGATAATTAGTGTGCCTTTGTTGATGGCACTGCAATTCGAGAGATAGACACCGGGACATTTGAAGATGGTTTATGGACAAAGAGGTTCCTTATACTCGACAAAATACGAACACCTCTGAACACAATTTATTTCCTTTCCTTCTTCCAGTCCCAGGGGAATTGCTTTTAATTAAAGGTAAAGAGATGACTTCGTTGTTTCTTTCTTTATTTATTTTTTTGTGGTTGTTTTTTTTTCATTTGCGTCTTTTTTCAACCTCCGAAGTTTTGGCGTGGGATACAAATGCATATATATATATATATATATATATATATATATATATATATATATATATATATATATATATATGCGTGTGCATTATATGTAAAGAAAGAAGACTTATATACATACATATATATATACATACATATATATATATATATATATATATATATATATATATATATATATATAAAGGAAATATAAATATATATATATATATATATATATATATATATAAGGTTTCTTTTTTTCCTTACTCTGTATGAATAGCAATGAAATTAAGAAGAATTCTAATAAAAATAAGTTTCTAGGCACTAAATTTTTATTCTTCTTTGTGGACAGGAAATACAACTTGATAATAGGAATAAATAACTAAAGAAAGAAAGAAAGAAAGAAAGAATGAAAGAAAGAAAGAGTATATTCTGTGAGAAGCAGTCTGAAAAGAAAGAAAGAAAGAAAGAAAGAAAAGTAGAGAAAGGGCATCTCTGTGAGAAGCTGTCTAAAGGAAAGAAAGAAGAGAAAGAAAGAGAGAAAGAAAGAAAGAAAGAAAGACGAGAAAGGACATACTTTGTGTGAAGCTGTCTGAAAGAAATAAATAAATGAATAAATAAATAAATAAGAAAGAAGGAAAGAAAAAAGAAAGAAAGAAAAGTGATGAAACGATATTGTCTGTGAGAAGCTGTTTGAAATAAAGAAAGAAAAAAGAAAAGTAGAAAAAGGTCATATTCTGAGAAGCTATCTGAAAGAAAGAAAGAAGAGAAAGAAAGAAAGAACGAAATAAAGAAAGAAAGAAAGAAAGAAAGAGAGTATATTCTGTGAGAAGCAGCCTGAAAAAGAAAGAAAGAAGAGAAAGGACATGCTATGTGAGAAACTGTCTGAAATAAATAAAGAAAGAAAGAAAAGTAGAGAAAGGACATAGTCTGTGAGAAGCTGCCTGAAAGAAAGAAAGAAAAAGAAAAATATTTACCTGAATGTAAAAAATGGCTCACGAGAGTGAAGAAAGAGAGGAGCAAAAAGCTACGAAAGAAAAAACTGCATTTAACCAATAGATCGAAAAAAAAGAATCGTTAATAAAAAGTCGAATTTGAATGTTTTATTTTATTCTTTACGAACAGTTAGAAGGAATGCGAGAAGAAAAAGCAAGCAACGAACAACAGAAAAACAAAAAAAATCAGGAATTAAAGGCTACGCGCCAGTCTAATTAAGTGACTGCAAAGAAGGCCATTGTCAAGAACAAGTTTTAATTGGTCGCTTTTAGCTATTTCCCGCCAAAATATCAGCGGCCATTACTCTATCAACAGCTGTTAATAAAATCCCTAAACTTAATTTGGAAATCCAGCGAAGGAGATGAACACTTTAATATCGTTGATATATATCTGAATACAGACAAGTCTGACACAAGGCCATAAAATAAACGTAAACTGCCCCACAATAGGTTGGACGGAAACCGCAGACATCATTGAACGCCTTTACCTATTTTTTCCCATGCAAAATTCAGTACGAGCCACTGATCCGATGCACCCGAGCAGTACCTCACGATACAAGTAGAATTTTCTTTATCAGAGTAATTGAACTAATGTTCACCCAATAAAAAAGACTCGAGAAACACTCAAGTTAGAGTGTTTCTGAATGACGTGTGTGACATGAATGTAAGTACTGGAAGTAGAAAGTGAAAATTACGAGGATATGGAAGAGAGGTAACGACTGACCCTTGACTTTAAGGGAAGTTCAGGGAAGAACACACGCGGGAGTCTGTTCTATCAGCTCATCCCATAAGTTCTGTCCGAATTCTAACTTTTTGTGAAAATGAACGAAATTTAAAGAGTATTTTATAATGTCTTATGGAGCTGAACATTATTTTTATGATTAGATGCATTTAAACTGATCAAATTTTATTTCAGAAAACCATAAAATTAAATTTTGTTTGATAAAAACCCTGCTAACATGGAAGTACCCAAGAATCATTTGAGACACATAATGCTTTATGAGTTCAAGAAAGGAAACTCAGCAGCCGAAGCGGTTAGAAACATTCACTCAGTTTATGGAGAGGAATGTGTGAATGAAAGAACTTGCAGAAGATGGTTTGCAAAATTCAGAGGTGGAGATTTCACCCTTGAAGATGGAGATCAAACCGGACGTCCAGTTGAGTTTGATGAAAAGCTTCTTGAAGCAGCCCTTGAAGAAAATCCTGCTTTATCAGTTGAGGAATTGGCAGTGGTTCTCAGTTCAAATCATACAACTGTTCATCGTCATCTTCAACAACTTGGAAAAGTTCCTAAACTTGTAAAATGGGTGCCTCATGAATTGTCTGAAAACAACCTCAAATCTCGAGTTGACATCTGCTCTTCTCTTCATTCTCGCCAACTTGTTTCACCTTTTTTGGATAGAGTTGTGACTGGCAACGAAAAATGTGTCTTTTATCGAAATGTTAAGCGTCGTAGACAGTGGCTTGGTAAAGGAGAAGGACACCAGCCACAGCCGAGAAGGGAACTTCATGGGCAAAAGGTTCTTCTTTCAATCTGGTGGAATCGCCAAGGAAAAATCCACTTTGAATTCTTATCACCAAATGCAACAATTAATGCTCAAATATACTGTCAGCAATTAGAACGTTTGAACAAAACTTTGAGGAAAAAAAGACCGGCTCTAGTGAATCGAAAATGGGTGATGTTTCATCAGGACAATGTGCTACCCCACACAGCAAGAATCACGTTCCAAAAGATCGAAGAACTTGGTTGGGAGAAAATTCCTCATCCACCTTATTCTCCCGGTCTTGCTCCTTCAGACTACTATTTGTTTCGTAGCTTACAGAATCATTTGGAAGAAACAGGTTTTGTAACACAGCAAGACGTTAAAACTGACATTTGTGAGTTCTTCGAATCAAAGCCAAAAGAATTTTACAGTAATGGAATTAGTAAGCTTGTTAATAGATGGAAGGAAGTCATAGATAATCAGGAAAAATACATTGTTGATTGAATCTGTAATTAAATGTAACATTTGGTCACTTGTTTTCTTTATTCAAAATTCGGACAGAACTTATGGGATGACCTGATACAAAGCAGCATTTATTGGCAAGAGGCTGTCTAACGGGAACGGGTCGTTCGACTCTGTAGATATAACATGGCGAGTTTTAGTTAGATAGGTCTGAACTGGTGGAAATAATGAATGACATTCATCCTAAATTTTGTAGTATGAAAAACACCAGATGTAATATTTTCTGTTGTTTAATCAGGTATGACGAGATGAAGCTAAAAATAAGAACACGGTATCAGACTTCGATAGGAAATATATTGGTCGTTCATTGAGGACTATCGTAGCTTTTTACTCTAGTATAACATTTGAAGAAGTCAAGTGAGCATGTTTCTTCTGCTTTTCTTGATTTTCTTCCTTTGTTTGTTTAGAGGCATATCAACTCGTTGCGGGTGATTTAATGCCGAAATTTAATTTTTTTGTAAGCATTATTAATTTATTTTAAAAAGTATTGCTGGTATTTTTTTACCATGAAAATGTATTGCTGGTATTTTTTTACTATGAAAATATATTGCTTTTTTTTTTTACTATGAAAATGTATTACTGGTATTTTTTACTATGAAAATGTATTGCTGGTATGTTTTTTACCCGGAAAATGTATTATTTTCACGGAGAAAATATATTTTTTTTTCACGGAAAATATAATACAGGTTTTTTACTATGAAAAAATGTAATACAGGTATTTTTTACTATGAAAATGTATTGCTGGTATTTTTTACTATGAAAATGTATTTCTGGTATTTTTTACTATGAAAATGTTTTGCTGGTATTTTTTATTATGAAAATATATTGCTGGTATTTTTTTACCTTGAAAATGTATTGCTGGTATTTTTTTACTATGAAAATATATTGCTGTTTTTTTTTTACTATGAAAATGTATTACTGGTATTTTTTACTATGAAAATGTATTGCTGGTATGTTTTTTTTTACCCGGAAGATGTATTGCTGGTATTTTTTTCACGGAAAATATATTGCTTTTTTTTTTTACTATGAAAATGTAATACTGGTATTTTTTACTATGAAAATGTATTGCTGGTATTTTTACTATGAAAATATATTGCTGGCATTTTTTACTATGAAAATGTATTGATGTGTTTTTACAATGAAAATGTATTGCCGGTATTTTTTTTAGCAGGAAAATGTATTGTTGGTATTTTTTTCACTAAGAAAATATATCGCTGCTTTTTTTTTTACTATGAAAATGTAATACTGGTATTTTTTACTAGGAAAATGTATTGCTGGTATTTTTACTATGAAAACATATTGCTAGTATTTTTTACTATGAAAATATATTGCTAGTATTTTTTTTTTACTATGAAAATGTATTGATGTTTTTTTTTACTATGAAAATATATTGCTGGTATTTCTTACCATGAAAATGTATTGCTAGTATTTTTTACCATGAAAATGTATTGCTGGTATTTTTTTTACCCTGAAACTGCATTGCTGGTATCTTTTACTATGAAAATATATTGATGGTATTTTTTACTATGAAAATGTATTGCCGGTATTTTTTTTTTAATTATGAAACTGCATTGCTGGTATTTTTTACTATGAAAATATATTGCTGGTATTTTTTTTTACTATGAGAATGTATTGCTGCTATTTTGCTATAAAAATGTTTATACTTTTTTGCGTTTTGTATATATCCCTTTGTTTTTACCCGAGTTTGGGAGTAAACTATTTTGCCCATAGCTGGGAATCGAACAGGTGCTGCTACTACCCCAGTTCAGAGTGTACGAGGGAACACTACCAATGAAGAAGGTGGTTCTATGCTCTTCAAAACCTCTCTGTTGTTTTTGATGCAGCACGTCGCTTCAATACATGGGCGGCCATAGATCCCCTCCATTGCCTCTTGAAGTTCTAAAGAAAGTTTCACATTTCAGCATCCCCCCCTGTATCCCCAAGAATACAGCCACATCACGCTGAAATACCAGTTCCTGTACGAACACCGAAGTTAAGCAACAACGAACCTGGTCAGCACCTAGATGGGTGACTGCTTGGTGTAATAGATTATGGCTGAGAATTGTTAATCGGAAAAAAAAATCAGAAGTCTTTATTAATTAAATAATTATAAGGGCACCTCGAGACGGTGTAATGGTTAGCAAGCTTGTCTCGCTAGATCAGTTACGACTGAGTAGTCAGTTCGATCCTCACTGAGTACTTCACACTTTCGCCCACGTGCCACATCTAAACTACGCTTTGAAAATCATTAAATGTAGAAATTACTCCCTGGGGTAGTTTGTAACACCCTATTTATCATCTTTCAGTTGCGTCTTTGAGCAGGGACGCAACTGTCAGGGGCGTCTCCGTCAAAGGACAGTCGCAACTGAGGAAAATTATACTGAGAGGTGCCCTACCCCGGGAAACACCTACCCGAGGCTGCGACCTCTTATTGTACTAGAGAGAGGAATCGGTGCTCGCACCGATGCCAGAGCAACCAATGGTTGCGAGGGCTCGGGGAATTTTTGTTTCTAGCCCGGGTGTACGCGCTCGGACTCCCCACATTAAACCGACTTTGTGTCACAACCTGACTTCTTGGGGTGGGGAGTAAATACAAATTAAACAATTATAATATCTATTGCATCACTGACCGATATCGCGAGGGAATTAACGGATTATCGTCGTTGCTTTTGGTTACTGCGTAGATCCGTCGGGGTATCATGAGAATAAAGTCGTTCCAGTACTTAATTGAGATTCCTTTTCATCATACTTCTTTAATTGATTCTCTCAGTACTTTTTATGATGTCAACGAACACTCGTTTGACACTTGTGATACCAGCAAGTACTCGTTGTCACTTTCGTAATGCTCGTTGTAGTAGAGACTTTGTAATCGCAGATACAGCTATAGTAACGCCGTTGAACAATACTGGTGTCAGACGCCTTCGAATATCACTCACACTAATATTACTTGCTCGATAATACTCGCTCGAATAATAAATAATCCGTGTAGTGATCCAAATAGACAAATAGTATAGTGAATAGAGTAGAGAATAGTGGTCCGTATAGTAATAGAGGATAGATTAGAGACAAAGATCCGAATTCCATTCAAGAAACATGGGGTACTCATTGGCCTAACAGCGTGATTGTCAGTTGAAATTTATAAAATCTTTCTCCGAAGAGAGTTTTCAGAAAAACAGACCTTATCTATTTTACTAACTGTTACGGTTCTTTCTAGTACTGATGGGAGTTGCCTTTCTAACCTTTTGTTTAAGGTACCGTGGAAAGTCAGCATCTTTATTATATCATTAATTTCCATTGTAGCCGTAAATTGAAAGAGTCGGAGATAATAATAATAATAATAATAATAATAATAATAATAATAAAGCCCTTCGTAAAGTGTGGGCTGTACTTATCAGAACAATTTTTTGTATCTCCTTGAGGCATGGACTTCCAGGAATCCCTTCAATTAGTCTACTGCAATATTTTCCAACCAGTCCTAGGGCTCCAACTACAACAGGGATTGTTGATGTTCCCATCTGCCACTTTTCTGAGATTTCTACTTCAAGGTCCTTGTACTTTGACAACTTTTTGAATATCTTCAAAGATACATTGCAGTCTGCAGAGACTGCCATATCAATAAGGAGGCATCGTTTTTGTTTGTGGTCTTTAATAACAATATCTGGCCGGCTGGCCTTGATTGTTCTGTCAGTGTGTATTGTGTAGTCCCATAGAATTGTTACAGGTCCTATCTCCGTAACCGGATCTGCGCGGTGTTCATACCAGTTTCTTTCAGTTTCCTTCCCGTAGAATTTGCATATTTTCCAGTGCATATATTGGCCCAGTCTGTCATGCCGGGTTTTATGTTCAGTGGGTCCCAATATCGTGCAACATGATACAAGATGATCAATCGTTTCTGGTAATTTATCTAATTTAGACTAATTGAAGGGATTCCTGGAAATCCATGCCTCAAGGAGATACAAAAAATTGTTCTGATAAGTACAGCCCACACCCTACGAAGGACTTTATCTATGTAATTTAACTTTTTTTTTTTTGTCAGTGGAAAGTGTCATGACGCCATCTCTAACCTTAGGTCCCTGGGTGGGACCCGGAAAGAAATGTGTAAACGCCAGAAATCAAAGAAAATAATAATAATATTTGCAGTGGAACATATGCAGAAAGGAAACTGCAAGAAATTGGTATAAACATAACTCAGGCCCGGATAGAGATATAGGTCCTGTAACAATTTTATGGGACTTTACAATACACACAGACAGAACAAAGCTAATTGCCCAGACACCAGGATCAAAGACCACAAAGACAAAATGTGCCTTCTTATTGACATGGCACTTTCTGCAGATTTTAATGTATCTCTAAAGATCTTCAAAAATAAGAAAAAAAAATACAAGAATTTTGAAGTGGAAATCTAAAAAGTGTGGCATATGAGGACATCAGTAATTCCAGTTGTAGTTGGTGCCCTCAGATTGGTTGGAAAAAAGTTCCGATAAACTCATTGAAGGGATCCCTGGTAGACCATGCCTTAAAGAAATACCAAAAAATATACTCGCAGCCTACAAAGCGCTTTATCTATGGTGAATGTGTGTAATCTCGTATTGTTTTATTTTTGTTTTTTGCTTTTTTTTAAAATTCTCAGTGGATGATATTTCTTACCTTAGGCCTCTGGTTGGTACACAGAAAGAATGGAGTATACACCAGAAATCAAAGGAATAATAATAATAATAATAATAATAATAATTAAATTAAATCTCGAAAATGTGGCATCTGGGAACGTCAACAATCCCTGTTGTAGTTGGAGTCCTAGGACTAGTTGAAAAAGATTGCAGTAGACTAATTGAAGGGATTCCTGGAAGTCCATGCCTCAAGGAGATACAAAAAATTGTTCTGATAAGTACAGCCCACACTTTACGAAGGGCTTTATCTATGTAATTTATTTTTTCTTTTTTTTTTTTTGTCAGTGGAAAGTGTCATGACGCCATTTCTAACCTTAGGTCCCTGGGCGGGACCCGGAAAGAAATGAGTAAACGCCAGAAATCAAAGAAAATAGTAATAATAATAATAATAATAATAATAATAATAATAATAATAATGCAGAAGACATTTGGAATGTTAAGGAGATAGATGGAGCAGGAGGAGAACTTAATTTCCAACGATTGCAATAAGATATTTTTGGGGAGAGAATATGTAAGTATATGAAGAAAAGGTTTGCTGTCACTTATTCATCTGGGTGGATTAGTAGATCGACTAATGTGAAAACTCACACAATAATCTGAGTTTTAACCGGCGTAAAACTGTAGTACCAGCGACCGTTTCCGATGGCTTGAAGCAACACATGATCGCTTGGCTGCATTAGAACTTTTCCCAGTATTTTCCCACTATTCACGCCTCACCACCCGAGGTTTCACACAACCCACCACTCCGAAATTTATTCCTGAAAGACCTCAACGTGGCATTTTGGTGTTCTGGCTGTTAACCGGATTCATGGCAAATGTCATCCTGCATTAGCACCAAGGGATTGTGGGTAATCTCGTTAGGAAACGGGCTAATCTCGTTAAAACATGACGCATAAACATACCTACGTTTATATAAAATGTCTATCTGAAGCAAAAAAGTTATATATATATATATATATATATATAGTTTTTAGATTGGTTCTAATAAAGAGTACTGTAAATAATCATTTGACTTATAATAAATAATTCAAATAGATTTTTTCCAATATATGTACAATAATGAAGCTATATATATAAAATGAACATTGAAGTTAACACTCAGAGATGACAGACTATTTAGTGCTAAACGCAATCATACCTGATAGTTGCGTTTAGAATGAAACAGTCTGTCGCCTCTGAATGTTGATTTCAATGTTCACTTTTTTATTTATATACGCTCTATCTCTGACATTGAGCACTTTATCCCATAAATATAACACGCCTTAAATTTATATTTCCTCATACATATATATATATATAGTCATCCGTAGACAGACTGTTTCGCTATATCACAGCTACCTATTGTGGCTAGACACCCGATCGCTTCAATCCGGGACCGAAACCCGACCGATTTGGTATCAGTCGGAGATTGTAACCCCTAGGCTATCGATGCCCGGCAGAGAGAAAGGCGAATTTTTACGTATTCATTTTGTCATTAACACGCCAGTTCAATTTGGAGAGTCTTGCATTATCAGCAGTGATAGTGACTGTTTAAAAATTCGCACTTAGACTGACGATTGCGTTTATGAAACAGGTTATCGCCTCTGGGTGTTGACGTCAATGCCCACTTTTATATTTATATTTTTAATCGATTTCAAGGCAGCAAACCCAGTAAGATACAAAAGGTTAGTGGGTGTGGGAACAGAAACTTTACTAAGATGCAAAAGGAAAAGAAGACTAATCAGGAGGACAGTAGACAAGCGATTGACATTGTATTTCAATTTTTGAATGTATGAAGCCAGAAGGATGTTCCACAAGCGAGAAGTGCGAAAAAAGAAACTATTAGCATAGAACTCATCCGTAAATTGGTGAGACCTCGTCGCTAGTATAGTACTACGCTTAAATTTTAAAAGTGTACCTACCATGGCGAAAAAGCACACCCGAACAGTTGCTATGAAAGTATTTTCAGAAAAGTCATGCGGAGGCTGTGGGAAAGTGACTGAAACCAAAACGCCAGATTAGGGATAATAATATTGCTAATTCTGCTTTGGATTTTCACGATGGATCTCTAAATATACAGCAGGAGAACAGGACCATATGTGGCACCATTATTCTAAGTATGAACGGATGGCAGGCTTGTGAATATGCAAGATTGATTTCAGTGGAGAAAAACTGTCTCGCACGACAGAGTCAGCAAACTTTCTTAGAAGCTGACTTAGAAACAGATTCAAGATAGTGTTTTTACTTCATGTTAGCTAGCCGAGAATGTTAGCCTGAGAAGACGCAACGAGTCACTTTCCTGGAGGTTAGCATCAGCCATAGGCAGGAAGTCAGAAAGACTCTCTCAGATGATTAATATTGTGCACGTTTTTTGGAGGCGTTAAAATTAACAAGCTCATTTTTAGTCCTAGTTATATATATATATATATATATATATATATATATATATATATAGATAGATAGATAGATAGATAGATATATATGTGTGTGTGTGTTTTGTGTGTGTGTGTGTGTGCGTGTGTGGAGGGAGAGTATACTGAGATGGAAATGTGATAGCTCAGATGCACTTGAGGGAAGGGTAGAATGAAGGATTTTAAAAATATGTTAAAATGAGAATATATATATATATATATATATATATATATATATATATATATATATATATATGAATAAAAAGAAAGAACAGTAAGATATATAATCCAGTGTTCTTATAGATATTTTATTTTTTTATTTTAACGGATGTTAGATTTCATTGAAAAATACATCCCTACCCACTACCAAAAGTAGCAATAACTGATACTTTTTAATATATAGACACCCCTGTCTAAAAAAAATAGATTTATCTCTAACCTTGGAAACATGAATTTTGTTTTTTTTGTGTATTTAAAACCCAGTAATTTTTAAAAGTTACTCCAAAATTCGCTTGAGGATGAAATTGAACTAATGTCTTTAATTTAATTACAAAATTAAATTTTAGCTTCCATTTTGAAACATGGTTAGAACTGTGATGCGAAAAAAAACATATTTTAAAATCAATTAATTTATAATATATATA